AAGAAAAGTTGGTGTAACTTTGATCGAAATAAAGAAATATGTAATAAATAATCATATTCAAAAGTTTAATTTGAACATTTAAAAATTTAAATGGCTATATACCTAACTTCACTATCATGATATGTTAATCTCAATTTCGAGAAATCAGAAACTTGAATTGACTTAAGTCGTTGAGATGCTCTATCAAATCTCATGTGAATTCCATTAGCTGTTAAAGATAGGAATATATCTGTTGATAATGGTGCCTATGAAAAAATAATGAAAGTAAAAAAAAAAAAGGGGAACTTAAAAAGGCACAGTATTTCTAACATAATTGAAATACCTCTTCGTCATATTTTAAATCCACAGAAGGAATTATACGAGATTGTTCCCTTATAAAGTTATTGATGTCCCAAATTGACGTGCCTAAAAAATATTTTATTTAAAAGAAACGTATTATTTTGATTCTAAATAAGATTGACGTACCTAAACGAAACCACCCCAGACTTTTGCCTGGCACAATAGATAGATCAAGTCTTTGTGGTTCACGACGAATCTGAGGATCTTGTAAATTTAGCATTGAGAAAGTTTAACATATGGGCCGATTTGGCTCACTTCAATTATATCACTTGCAGAAAATGATCGACTGTTAATCTACAAGGGAGATCGTTCCAAATAAGGAAAATGGTTACACAATTTCTTAAATTTTTTTTTTATACAGTATAAAATACTTTTTAATTCAAATGAAATGTGGGTAAGATTTCTAAGCAAATTTGAAGCTTTCTCACAGTACTATTCTAATATATATTGAATCCTTTTGAATCCTATAACCTTTATATTACTATTAACTGTTTAAAACATATTTAAGAATAAGCATTATATAGAATACCAAGTCACTAAGTCAACTAAATTCCATTCATTAAAAGAAGAAAAATGAAGAGAAGCACAAGAAATGATTTAATAAAGGTAAGTTAGGTAGAGAATAGTGTTTTATGTATTATTTGTTACATGTGGCTTGTAAAAAACCTTTTAAAAAGAGATATTAAAAGAACAAAAATCATAGATAAAGAAATTATAAATGAAATTGTCTTGAATATAGCTAAGAAAAAGATAAATATAAATGTTAATACTTTGAACGGTTCAGTTTAGTTCAGATTATAGGCCAATCTGAAACTGAACTGAAAATTTCAGTTCAGTTCAATTCAGATTATAAAT